GTACATTCTATAATTTAAAAATAGCGTCGTTGTCCACTTTGATAATGGTTGGGAATAAACGACAACTTTGAGTAACCTAACTCGACGATTGCCATTAGGGTTAACTGATGAACAGAACTTCTCCGTTAGGGCACTTGAGCGCCGATGATTGAGAACATTATGAAGAGAGTTCGGACAGTTGGATTCGTTCACTGACACTGTAGCTCGGTCATGTTGGGACGTTTAAGTGCTTTGATTTTGGACCCGTGAGACGTGTGAGTTTCGCCATCAGAATTAACGAACCACCCTACACACCAATGAGATAGAACCGATCCGGCGCCAGGCAACTTCAGAGCTGTGTTCACTGTCGGGAATAAAATAACTTAATGAATCAGTGGCACGGGTTGGTGAAATTTGAGTTCAGTATTGCATTCAATTTTACAGACTTAAGATAATGCGAACCCTGTATTACTCACCCTTAGAAGTGTCTGCCTATAGATATCTCCGTAGTGTAATTAACACTAAACAAGCAATAAAATAACCATCCGGGGAAACGCACGGTGTTGAATCAACCTAATTTGTTTCTAACTTACGCATCTAATCTGTCGGAATCGTGCTTTGATGCCTGAATAACATAAAACATTTGAGTCACCAGTAGCCATGCCGCGATATAGTGTCGCTTCAGGGTCCATCGTGGTTTAGCTCACAATCCATAAATCTCCTTGCTCCTAATGTGAACCGTAATGACAATGTTCGCCAATTCAACTACACTCCATTTTGAAGTAGCTTTTCCAATCTGTACTCAATGAACAAACAAAAATCGTGCGTTGTGTTGAGCCTATTTTCAATATTTTGTGCCTGATATCTATAGGTTTCCCTGGCCATCGTTGGTGCAGATGCACTGCTGAATAACGGATATGTTCTGGCACGTATTGGAACAGCCCAGGTGGCCAATTTAATTTCGGCTATCGCTCACGCGCCTACCTTGGTTTGTGCAGAAACTTACAAATTTTGGGAGCGTGCACACTCGGACGCATTTGAGTACAACGAAATTGGCGATCCGGATGATATCTGGCGTGGTCCACGAGGGCCAATGGCCGATCCAAATGTAGGCATTCCTGGCTGTGGACCGGTTTGGTGCACGTCTACAGACCAGTTACCCAATCTACAAAACTGGCGTTCAAATGCGAAACTACGCTTGCTACATTTGGTTTACGATGTGCTCCCACCGGAACTTGTAACTGCTGTGGTCACAGAGAAGGGCATTTTGCCAACCACCTCTGTACCTGTTGTATTACGAGTGAAACAGGCCACCTCGATTCCAGTTTGATCAAGTTTCCTTACTTTCGTTACTTTCTTCTCTTATCGATACTTGTTTCTTCGCTGAGAACGCCCCATGGCTGACGCTGTATTTTAAACTGGAAATGAAAGCTTGTGGATTGGATGCGTTTGTTCGTCGTTCATCGATCACCTTGATCCAATATTTCCCCCAGAATTTGTTGTCATTGTTTTTCTTATGCCTTTTGGAACGCTCTGCTATCGCAACGATTAGAAAGTCCACTTCTGTTGTATCCCTTTTCTCAGTTATTGTGTTTGGATGTTAGGTCAACCGATATTGAGCAAAAGAAAGTCGTACTGGAAAGTGCTTATTACTCTTGTTCAGATATACTGGGGTTATGTTAACGAAGTAATAGATACTCAGCACTAAATACAGTTGTAGATTACTTATCACTATGAGTGAAGTTATTCAAGTGTAGTGCGCAACGGCACTCCGAGCTTACGGTGTTATGTAGCTTGTCATCTTTTAGCCGCGAGATACACTCGGGCAGGTATTCGATACACGAATACTCGTGATCTATCGCCAAGGCCGGGCACTCGATATACGAATGCTAACACGACCAATCACNAATGCTAACACGACCAATCACCTGTGCTCCTGGGGATCACTGAGGGACAGTACTTATGGTATTCCGGATGGCCTTTACGATGAATCTGCAAGGTAAAGAAAACAAACTAACATGAACCAAAGGTCCAGAGAGATATGCACGCGACTTACAATCAAATCAAAATGGCGGTGCTACGGCTGCACGTTACACAATCAGGTTTCAAAGATCCCACAGATCTTTCATTCACAGACGTATTCGGTATATGACTTGACTACTCGTGAGTAGTGTAAATTGATTCAAAAATCAACATTTTATGCGCCATCTCGCAAACAGCCAACATGAGACCATCCTAACATGCCTTTTTTTGTACGGTCGTTGCATTTCTGCTCCGGTGACCTATTCTTTACTTTGGCTCACATAAATCGAGTTTTGAAAGTATCAGATCATAGTACTCGCTCTTCTGCCTAACCCCTGTCGCCCCACGCGATCTGTCGCAGAATTCTTTGAATGATCTTCAGACGAGACAGATAATTCCAGGAAAGCGGGAACAGTGATGTCAGACACGTCATAAATAACCTTTACATGTGCTGCGCTCACAGCGAAAAACTATTTAGAGGCTTATAATCGAATGGTACAAAAGGAAAGATAACTGGGGCATAATGAACAAGGTCCGTTTGAATTTACTGAAGGAACTCATACCGGCGGCAAAAATTTCGGAACCTAAACGAATGACTGATGAGGAATTTCAGAAATACGGCTTTGAAAAATCGCCTTGTTCAACAGAAGGCTTAGAGGAATGGTGGAAATTTAAAACTATGAAAAAGATAGACTTTGTATCCGAATATTTAAAGTTTCGTTAAATAGTTATTGTTATCACTGTGACACTGGGCTAAATCAGTGAGTACTGCAGACAAGGTGGGTATTTTGAAATGCGGAAACCGATTTGTTCAAATCTATTCAGAAAGTACGACTGATCATTAATTGAAATCTAGGCTCAAAATATCGAATGAATTCACCGATCGAGAGAGCTGTAGAGAAAAGCAAATATTTACATTGAAAGGCACAACTAGGTTTTGGTGAGTATAGGATTTGCCAGAACTCACAACTGTAAGGAGACCAGCGAAGGTTGGCGTTGATCGAGACTACAAGGTATCAGGAGGAATGCTAGTGTTTTTCACACCTGTAAGAGGTCCTGCCTTAGTCGGTTCGGTGTTCTCTATCGGTAAAGCAATATATGATCCAAATCGGTACTGGTTTCGAAAGCTTAAAACTTGATAATATGAAGAAGCAAATAAATAAATGGTTTGGTATCATTCTACCAAGCGCGTTGTGTGTGAGAGAGAGAAAGTGAGTTCTTGTAGATGAAGCTGGAGTAGAGAATGCCTGCTTTCATTGTTGAACTCCGAGACACTCAGAATTGACTACATTGTCTTTTAACAAGGAAGTTAACGAGGATCATCATGTCGACTAGAACAAGTTGAACTTCGATTGCGAATTGTGAGCAGTTTTGTGCAAATGAGAAGGTACTCTGCAGCGCTGAACTTCTATGCAATCAACACCGCTTATAGCAAGACCAAATGTACGCAAGGTGTCCGAAATGCTTCGTCTATTGTCAGCTTCTGATCTCTCACCAATGGCATTCAATATGATTAAACGGACAAGTGCATTCAGAGGATTCTGTTTCAGTTAGGATTACTGTTTGCATACAGCGCCCGTGTCTGTTTGAGCACAGGAATCCTGATCACGTTAGAGCAGGTGAATTTCATCATTAGCTCAATGCATGATTTATCAGCATTTCATAAAATTCATGGAGTGTATTGTTGCAAAAAGTAATCAAAAGGTACAACACACAGGAACAAATAATCTAGCGGAAAAATGCTATCCTTATGACTAACAATGCGCCTTGTTCACCCAAGAACATGATGTGGAACTGTACTGTTCCTGTAATTAGTTGTACAAGCAAGCGTAAGTGGGAATTTTGAATCGCTGGTGATTACTTTACACAGTCCTTGAAAGTTCATCATGCCAGAGTGTTTTTCAGTAGACGGTGTTCTATCACCGAACTTGCACCACAATTAAATCGAACAAAAGATTGCATTTGAATTGAGAACAGGATTAAATCCTTCCTTAAACCAGAGAAATAGAGATATTGAATATTCGTGTAGGCCATTACGGGTGTAGTTAGCCTGCTCGGCGGAGTGCAACCAATAGCAGTTCGCCCATTCGAACCTCTGGATTAGTTTATTGACCTAAGTTGTGGATGATGCGCAAGATAGATAACTAAATTTTAGCTGAAGCATTGATTTCGTGGATAACAATCATGTGCGCTCGTGGTTACTAACGATAAATATGCTAGTGTGGCGAATAATGATTGCAACGCGACCATTTGAATAGTGCGCCGTAGTTAAAGGTCACGAGGGAAAGCAAACAACTGCGCATAGGCTATTGACTAGTCTGTATGGAAGAAGATCGGTCCAAACATGGCTTCATGCATCCCAACTGTTCACGTCGTTCGTCAACCACAAGGCTATTTTCAAATATTGTGATGTGAAACGAAAGGGTTATGTCTGTGCGTTAGGTTCACCATCACACTTTGGTCGTAACCAGTACTCTGTCACATCTCAATTGCACGTCTGTCCTGTGGTTCATCACTTTTGTTCCCTCCACTCACGTCTTTGATTCCTTGATTTTTGTGACCATAGATTTTACCCCCCGATCGTTTGCTAATTTATGGTTATATGAAAAAAAATGGAATATAGAAATCTGCTATGGTCCATAACTGGTGTCCGCTAAAAAAATATGTCGCATAATGTCCTTTGATTATTAGAGGCATTCCGGTAGTCTATGAACACAGCGAACTTGAAGGAGGTTCTCTTATTTCATTTTGTTCTTTGTCTCATTCCACTTGCCCGCCCGGTTTGACGCAAAACCAAGTGGCCAACTGATTCCGGCGATATTCGCACATGATTACCGTTTTGAACGAACAGAGCTGTTCAACCCGTTTCAGGTTACCAATTCCTCCTCAGTCAACCACGCCTGACCCATAAGGTCACACCTGCTTGTTGTTCTGCGCTTGCGCACGGTTGTGTTGGTTTCACAGTCGATGTTTTGCGTTTCGCATATACATACTCTTCCGTTTCCGAACGCGTTTATCACTTCACTCTTCTGTTTGCACATCTTTTAACTTGTACACAACCAAATGGTTTGCTTGTTCACCCCCGCCCCGTCTCTGCACGCCCCACAAATAGCCCGTTGTACAGTTTCAGGATCATTTTGTGGCTTACCTGTCGCCCAATCCTGCCCGTTTGCCCGGAGGGCATGGATAAACACTAACGGTTTGCACTTTACCACCTCAAGTTGGCGACGCTTCGAGCTGAAACGAGTTATTTACTCGGTTGTAGTGTGAGGAAGCACGTTTGTGGTTTCCTGTGTGCGTGCGTGTTCCACAATCCTGTCTGCATCCACAAACTCCACAGATGAAAAATGTGGTAATTACCCATCGAAAATGTTCGTTCTCTTGGCTGCTCGCTCATTGCCGTTGTCCTAATCTGCGAACCGTAGATGTGATGAAGAATTGAGTCTAATCACTATTGAACTTTAATAACTCATGTGTCGTGTAACTCAATACTTGTTGGATGCCACCATAGAAGACCCAGAGATGAGATCCGCATTTGTTCATACCAAGACTCATTCAGGCTGTGCCTAAAAACAAAATAACTGAATTATCATTGTTTCACACGGTGACTCCTGGTCACCTTTGTTGTACACAAAACACAGTGCTTTGGGGATATTTTTCGGTTTTCGTTTTCGTGTACGGATAGGTTGGCGATAATGACCGAACGTACCCCTATCCAAATAATTTATTTATTCACATTTAATAATCTACCTACAGTGGACAAAACTGGAGCCTTTGTGAACGTCCTGCTAGAAGGACGTAGGAGCGGGGTAACTGGAGCTAGATCCCAACAGTGAGAAAAGTTTTCGCACTTCATTGGACAACTGCCACCCATCCAAGCTGGGCAGCGCCAGTTAATAAGGTATTGTCCCGTCCACGTTCCACTTGTCTCATCGGGAGCAGGAGGTTAAAGGCCGATCCTAAATAGCGGACCATCAATCAATGCATCCAAAGACCCTACGTGACAGGTCTGTAGAAGCTCTCACATGGGTGCTTCGGTTACTCTTCGCGTTAGATCTACCCTCAATGCCGTTTGGGTCAGACTCTTGAGTCAAGCCCTTCTGTTAGGGTTCCCAAAGAAAAAACCCTTCATCGGCGTGGGCTAACGCGAAGTATTTCTTGTCCTAAAGTATTCAGAACACTCTCTTTTCTATTTAGTTCCAGGTTTACTTCCAGATTGTACAAGATGCCTCTGCCACTCACGGGATATCACTCAGCATTTAACTGGTGGGGTTAACTAACCCAGATTGTTGAAGCCGACAGTTCCTT